CTTCTTCTTCTCTTTTTCCAATTCTTCTCTTCCCTCTCTCACAGATCTACGGTTCTTCTTCTTCTCTTTTTCCAATTCTTCTCTGTCCTTTCTCGCAGATCTACATCTGTTCCCTTTTCTCTGTCTCCAAGAGGTAGAGATGGTGGCGGCTATAGACGATGGTGCGAAAGTGGTGAGGGTTGAGGGGCGATGGTGTTAAGGGTTAAGGCGAGAGTGGTGGGGGCGGGGTCAATCGGCGGCGATGATTGGGGGTGGGTCAATCGCCGGCGATGATTGGGGTGGGTCAATCGCCGGCAATGATTGGGGGGCGGTGGGTGCTAGCCTCGGCAGTGTTGGGGCTGTAAGTGTAAAACAAGTAAGAAATGAAGGGTATATTAGACATATCCCTTCCAAAGTCAACCATTCAAAAAATGAGAAAAAGTCCTAATGGGAAGATTTTTTTCGGACGGAAGGAGTAAAATTCTTGAATATGTGAGAGTATTGGAACATCCAATCTTAATAGCTGAATGAATGAAATATATCTTTGAAATATAACACTTTGTATCACAAATTTTAAGGATCCTGAAATATATTTTAGTATTTGAATAATGTGAAACTTAAAAGTTATTACGAGAAAATATTTCAGATAATATAAGAATTGAGAGTTCTTACAAGAAAATCGAAGGTGTCCTAGAGTACTTTTCCATATAGTTGTCCTATACTTCCATATCAATTTTTAATCATTTACTCCTGTTTAGAAATGATATTTCTATTTGACTTTTCAAAGTATCTAATGTAATAATTTGACCATTAGTATAATATTAAAATTCATACATGGACATATTCTATGAAAATTTAATATTTGAAAACTATGTTTTATAAGAAAACTTTAAATATTTCATTTAGATCGATACACTATTTTTTCATATATCGAGGTCAAATTTACAAACTTTGATCAAGAAAAGTCAAATGAAAATAATTTTAAATAATTTAAAACAAAAATTTAAATACACAAATAGTAAGTTTGTGAAGCTTGTGTCCAAATTATTTGTGACTTTAACATTACTCAAAATACAGAGACAAATCGGCTATGTGTATTAATTACTTTTATTGTGACATTTGTTCAAACACCACACACACACAGTGGCGTTCCCATAACATTTGGAGTCAAATTTAGACTCCAAATTTAAAATTAACTTGTGGGGTGCAATTGAAAGAAGTGGGGGTGTACTTAGGACGAGGCGGGGTGGAGGGGTTCACCGGGGAGTAGGAGCTGTCAATTTTATGAATGGGGCATCGGAGCGTCCCCGGGTCATCCCATGACATTGCCGGGCAATGCAATGGGAACCGTCCCGATATATATATATATATATATATATATATATATATATATATATATATATATATATATATATATATATGTATGTATGTATGTATGTATGTATGTATGTCTGTATGTATGTATGTATGTATGTGTGTGTGTGTGTGTGTGTGTGTGTGTGTGTGTGTGTGTGTGTATGTATCTCTCTCTCTCTCTCTGTGTGTGTGTGTGTGAACACACAAAGTACCATAAAAAATAACCCAGTAGTCCTAGGGACATGCTTTCAATCAAATAATCATTCTTAACATCAACAAAGTGCTCATGAAAGCTCACATAATAATACACATAGACAAGGCATCATCACATACATGAATACATCTTCTCATAACCAACAATGATCTCAATGTGGTAGTGACTTACCCGTTTCCAGCCGCTGAAAGGTGAACACCAGATCGCCAATAACCTTCATTGACTAATGAAGATTTTCAAAGCACAAATTTAGGTTGCCTATAATCAAAATGTGACATCCTTAATCCTTTCAAGAATTGTGATAAACTACCACCCATAATTAAAGTTTTCACAGCTAGCATAGTTTAACCACAGGCATGCAAGAAAGAGGAAGAAAACACGACAAAACGCTCTGTCAACTTATGGGTGCCTAACTCCACTCCAAAGAGATCCTGACTATGGTTCCACAACACCCGTCAATGCGGCATACTGAACAGTAAACACACACCCCTCAAATCAAACAGGACAAGAGATTGGTGGAACACAAACCGTGTAAATGACAAATATGGCCATGTTAAATCCAGCCCAAAAGGATCCTCAAGAGGTGTAGGTTTGCTAGACTTAATAAAATAGATACCAAAGCCCAATTAGTATAAATAACTGCTTCTCTAGTGACAGCAATAGCACTACCAGCATACACCCATGCCATGAGTGTGAACAGATTACATGTAAAAAAAATGTCTAAAATTATAACAATAATTGGAAAGGTTAACACAGTCTTTAATCAAAGCATTGCACCAATATACAAATATGCATAAACACAGCTACTCGAGTACTATAGATAATTTCAGGAGAGGACTTGGTTGATGGTTTGTGGCATTAAAAGCCATCCACAAAAATGCGTATTAAAAAAATCATAAAAAGAGGGATGTCCATACTATTAGCGCACACTTGTGGTGCAACTGGGGTTTAGTTCTTTTTGGGTTGTTAGTAAATTAGAATCTGCAATTCAAAACAGAAAATGAAGCAGATAGGAATTTGGTCCAGAAAAGGATTCAAGATATGGATTTTTCATCACTCTCTTTGATATTCAGAAGCATATGCAGCAGAGTAGAATCTGGCCCTTGTTGTACCATATAATTTAGTAAAATTTCACAAGTTCTTTTGTAATGTGAGAATCCACGTCTTGACATTTCCTCCAAAACTAATATAGCATCAGAATGCTGATTCTTTTTCAATAACCCGCGGATCAGTTCATTGTATACCAGACTATCTGGAACAACACCATTTTTCTCCATTTTCTTGAGCATATCTTTTGCATCTTCTAGCAAACCTTCTTGGCAAAGTCCCATTATCATAGTTTTGTAGGTTATCATATTTGGCCGCAAACCTTTAGAGGGAAGGGAATTAAATAGTTCTACTGCGCTGCATGAACTTCCTTCATTGAATAGTCCATTTATGATGGTACTATAGCTAACTATATCAGGGATAGGACCTTTAGCTTCCATCACCCTCAATAAAGAAACCGCTTGAGAAACATGATGATTCTTGCAGAAGCCATCCAAAATAATGTTGTAGGTAACAAGATCTGGATGTTCTTGATTCTCTACCATCTTGTCAAAAAACTTCTCTGCATCAGCACATCTTCCAGCTTGAAATAAACCGTCCAACATAATGTTGTAAGTAACAACAGTTGGCATTAGGCCAATGCTAGGGATTTCTTCAAACAATTGCATGGCCTTCTCTGAACACCCACTCTTGCAGTATCCATTTATCAGAATATTGTGAGTGCGGATATCAGGGCCACATCCCCTACGTATCATGGTATTTAAGAGTTCCAATGCACTGTCGATCTTTTCTTGTAAGCAGTAACCATCCATCAAAGCATTGTACGTGATTATGTTGGGATCTACACCTTCTTGAACCATTGTATTGATGATTTTTTCAGCATCGCTGATCAGCCCTTGCTTGCATAGCCCATCAACTAATATGTTGTACGTATGGATATTGGGAGGAATTTTATAATCCGTCATTCTTTTCATGAACTCCTTAACCTTGTCCCATCGACTAAGTGCACAGAGCCCGTGAATAAGGGAACTGTAGGTCACGACATTGGGATGAATTCCCTTTTCAGTCATCTTGGCAAACAAGACAAGGGCATCGTCCACCATTTTATCCTTGCACAATGAATCAATAGCAGTGCTATATGCGCGTACATCTGGCTTGCAATTCCCTTTCTCTTCAAACATATTAAGAAACTGAATAGCCTCAATAGTGTGTCCTGCCTTGCAGAGGCCATCAATTAGTACTAGCAATGTGACATCACTCGGCTCGCACAATTTCTCATTCAATAACTTGTGAAACAACCAAATCGCATCTCGAACCCCACCTTGAAGGAACAACCCTTTGAGTAAGGTGTTGAAGAAAATGACATTGGGCACGAGGCCGAGCTTCAACTGGGTGCCTAAGATAGCAAACCCCAAATCCACTCTATGCAAACGGGTAAGGGAATTCGCAGCAATGTTCAGCGTGGCCTGATCGACCCTGATCCCCGAAGCACACATATCTTTGAACAGAGAGACGGCATCGCCGTTGCAGCCCATCTTCACAATGGCATTCAAGATTTGGTTGAACTGCACGATTTGAGGACGGGTTTTCATCTGGACCATGTGACGGTACAGAACAAGGGCATCATCGAGCTTCTTGATGCTCGCGAACCTTGATCTTCTATGTTGTTCGTATGCTTCGTAAAGATCAGGGCTAACAGCAGCATCATTATGAAAAGCTGGGAAATTGAAGGGAAATATGCGAAGTGAAGCGATGTTACCAGGCAATAATAATCCTCTGTTTGCCCAATTCAAATTGCTCCCACACGCTAATCGCATCATCTTTCCTCGCCAAGCCTTTTTTTAACTGCATCTATATGGCTTTCTTGCTCCCATTTCCTCAATTTCTTTTCTCTGGCGAGGAAAGAGAGACTGGATTCGTACCAGGAGCGAAGAAAGTCTGAAGGGGTTTTTTGTTTGACCTAATTTGTTCATCCGGGTTGAACCATTTGATTCCATTAATAAGTAATAGGGGCGGTTCGGGTTGAACCTCATATCCCATGACATGTAGAGATACATACAAATCAAATAAAATGTATTCGATTCGTGATTCGTATTTGAAAAGTATGATTCGTATTCATTATATTCGAATTTGAATCCAAATATAAATCATATTTTAAATTTGAATTATTTTCGAATTCGAATACAAATATTAATAGATTCGATTCGTTTATTATTCAAATTATTCGAATATTATAATTTATAAATAAATTTATATATATTCTAATATATTAAATATTTGTGTACATATAAATTTATATATATTCGAATATTATAATTTATAAATAAATTTATATATATTCTAACATATTTTTACTACATTTTTTTACTACATTTTACATTATTATAAAATAATAATTTAATGTCTTTAAAAAAATCTATTTTAAGAAAAAAAATTACTAATATTTTCGAATTCAAATATTNCATACAAATCAAATAAAATGTATTCGATTCGTGATTCGTATTTGAAAAGTATGATTCGTATTCATTATATTCGAATTTGAATCCAAATATAAATCATATTTTAAATTTGAATTATTTTCGAATTCGAATACAAATATTAATAGATTCGATTCGTTTATTATTCAAATTATTCGAATATTATAATTTATAAATAAATTTATATATATTCTAATATATTAAATATTTGTGTACATATAAATTTATATATATTCGAATATTATAATTTATAAATAAATTTATATATATTCTAACATATTTTTACTACATTTTTTTACTACATTTTACATTATTATAAAATAATAATTTAATGTCTTTAAAAAAATCTATTTTAAGAAAAAAAATTACTAATATTTTCGAATTCAAATATTCGAATACGAATTCAAATACGTCAAATATCTATCGAATACGAATGTTTTTTTAAAATTCGAATTATATACGAATCCGAATTCGAATACATATCACTTTAATCGAATACGAATCGAAGAGTGATATATTTGCTTCGATTCGATTCGTATACACCCCTAATGACATGAGATTCGATTAGAGCATCTATTGTGCTCTGTTCGAAAAATTGATGGTTCTTACGTCCCTAACACTCTCAGTAAACTCCCACTCCCACCTCCGGCCCCGCTTGAACATACCCTGCACCCTTATCAATTCCATGTCACAAGATTTAGTTAACTTTAGAGTTAAATTTTGACTCCAAAGTCAACTAAATCTTGTGACATGTAATTGACGGGGGTGTGGGGTATGTTCGAACCGGATCGGGGATGAGAAATTTACCGGGAGATTAGAAGGTAGGAAAGAACGGAGTATCATATTGAATCCCACAAACAAAATGTAAGTAATAAGTCTAATAACTCAATTTACCGGCATCTTTATATCTTTATATCCTTTATCCTTTATATATATAAAGCAGAGTCGGAGCTATAAGAACATGACATTTGGCAGAGCTAAAGCACGACATGTGGCGAGCTGATGTGGTGACATTTGGCAAAGTTAAAGCGCGACATGTGGCGAGCTAATATGTCACCATTTTAGACGAACCGATCGGTTTGACCGGTTAGACCAGTTCTTTTTTTGCAATTTTTTTCCAAAAGCATACCACCATGGGGTTTGAAACAAGGATCTCTTGGTCATTTAGTTGAGTTGCTAACCATCCAAGCTAGTGTGCTTTTTGTTACAATCTCACTTAAGCTTTTATAATGTTTCATAATTAAAAAAGGATTGTATAAAAATTTCTTTTTAGTTATAAAAAATATAATCTTTTAATATAATATTTAAGACTCCGTTTGCTAAAAAGTCGCCAAAAGACAAGCTTATGTGGGTTATATTAAGGTGAGATGGCAAGTCTTTATTGGTTGCTTATGTGGCAAATTTTATTAATGATGAATTGACCTTTCTTTTTATTTTAAAATAGAAATTTAATAATGATTTTAAATTTTGGAAAAATTTTACGTTAAAAGATTTAGTAGAAATAAAGAATTCACTACTTC